CGGAATTACAGCGCTGTTGGAAATTGATAGGAGGAACGCTTTCAAATCACCCAAATTTCTTTTGAAGACAAGCGGAGGAAATGATTCTTTGTTTACTTCATTTTACTTGCTTGAATAAAATAGTTAAAACTACATAGGTATCTATAGATTTTTTCCTAACATGGTACATATACCTAATTTAACTCGACTTTTTTTCATCCTCACTAGTTCACGAACAAAATAATATAGGTATCCTTAAATAAACTTTCTAATACATGAACTAAAAGAGCTTAAACAAACATACCAGTTATAACGGCCGGCCAACCGAATCAATGTAAAAGAGAGATCAACATCTGTAGCTAAGCTTCTGCTTAGTGAAATTGCCTTTGTCAATTGTGATGCCAAGTAAGGTAATGGAATTTCTTCAAGATATCAGAAAACTTCTTACATGTAATAGACGATTATGTAAAAACAAGAGCGATTCTTGTTTGCCCGCAAATAGGTATAGTTGAATTTGTTACGTGGTTTATAGATACATGGTTTGAATTGATCGGATAAAATAAAATAATAAAGAGCAAAACAAGTAAATAAGGATAATTGAGGAAAAGACAAGCCTGAATTGAACTCTCCGGAGCCAAGAACAATGTGAAAACCTTAATAACAGTAAAATAAAGCTTTATAGAATGAGAGAATAGTATCAGTCTTTTTTCGCACAAGTATTTCGTGTCCTTCGATGAGTACAAATTTCACTATTTATAGATAAATTAGGGAAGACAAGATCCTAAAATCATGCTCCTCTTTAAGGTGAGTAAAACCCCTCTTAATGGTTGCATAACGTTTAAGAATAAATGCTATGATTTTCTGTAACGATTGCTTCTTTAATACTACCCTCTCAACCAGTACCTTACTTTCAAATTCTCTTCCCCGGCCTTGACGCCTTCGAGACTTGTGTAATACCGGTCACATGCTTGTGACCGGTGTTAGCCATTTGTTGACTCATCTCTTACCTGTCTTTACTACCACGTTTCTGTTTGAGAAGCACTCACCTATAATCTGCAAAATTTGCCCAATATAGATAGTCTCCCCTACTTCCGATGACTCAACTTGATATGACCAGGAAGTAGATAAGATATTATCTTATCTTAGCGGAAAATTTCTTGAATGGTTTCTAAGACTTGAAAGGACGCACGTCTCTTTGAATTTAATGAGTCGAACACGTGTTGTCCCGCTGATTCGACAAACAGTTTTGCCATTTACCTAGGTAATGCTAGTTTTATACTGTGACACCTATAAACTTCTCAACTTTTCACCAATTTCATCTTTTACTTTCACAACTTTCTTCTCTGAGTCTTCTTAAAACTTCTCTGCTAACTCCCCTTTTCTCAAGAAACTTTACAAATTCGTATTTCTTATCACCATGTGTTCTGCTATTTCTTCCTTCAGTAATACATCTTCTACCCCTAAACCACATAACTTTATTTTAACTTCTTCATCACCGGCACTGGGACTTGCTTCGGCAGCGGTCCATCCAACTAGAACAAGTCTAGGAAACCTGACACTAGACCTCTCACTACAAACACAATCATCCCTTCTCAGTTGTCTTTCAAAAAGGTTCTTTTGACCCTGATGGAGACGGAAACAAATCTGTTGGTGAATATTATTCATCTCTTCACCCGGCTAGTATTCCTGTTTTAAAAGAGGATTGTGACTGGAAGAACATTGAAGTTTTAACCCCTAGTAAAGTGAGAGGATTACATTCAGCAGACTAGTGTTATTTTCGATTACGCCTACCCTTTTACTTTAAGACTTGGTAATGAAATAGACTCAATCATCTTGGAGTTTTGCCGGAACTATCAAGTTTGTTTGGCTCAAGTGGGGACCGGTGATATGGCACACGGTTACTTGCCTCCGATACTTGTGCTCCCGGGCTTAAGAATACCTCACTCTTGCACATATGATCAGTCTCTATGCCCCTAAAATTTTCTGATGAGGCGTGATTAAACTCAGCAAACGCGATCACAACGCCATCGTCACTAGTGTAGATGATGATAACAATCGTGGGTGGATGGAGAGGTTTGTTGTTGTTGCTCTCGGGGATACTTTACCGGCATCAACATCTCCCATCCCCGAAGCTTGGAACTATACTTGCAAGCTTTTTCAAATATCCCTCTTTTACTATCTTGAGGATATCTTTGTTGTTTATTAAGCCTTCTTTCCTTCTACTTTAGCCATCCTTTGGGTTTCCCCGGCAGTTGAGAACCAACCCAATGGGTTCAAAAAATTCCATACTGAATTCTCGAATGCGGAAGAACATTTCAATCAGGAAGAATTGGAAGGGCATGAATCATGAATCGTATTCTCTGAAGCTTTCTGTCGGCTTCTTCTTTACGTTAACAAGAGAGGAGCGGTTTCGCACTATATCAATATTGTACTGAAAGTTGGACAAAATCTTGAGCCATGTCGTTCCAAACATGCTAGTGAGACATGTCTTGATTTATGCACCACTCTGAAGCAATTCCTGTCAAACTTTTCCCAAAATAAGCCATGAGCAATTCTTCTTTGTCTCCCGCTCCCCTCAATAGGTTACAATACCTCTTCAGATGGGCCACGGGATCACCATGCCCATCATGCTTATCAAACTTGGGGGTCTTGAAGTCGAGTGGCAAATGAACGTGGGGAAACATGCATAGATCATTGAATGAAACACTCTTATGGCCTCACAAGCCCTGTATGTTTCTCATGGTTTGTTCCAAGCTCTTCATTTTCTGGTCATTTCTTCTTGTAAACTAATAATTCCCTTTGACCATTGACCATGCTTATGTGGCAGGAGCACAAGTGACATGGACAAAGTGCGTGCAACTCACATAATTAACGCGCGTGAGGACAATAATTTTTGATTAAACAATCATAAAATCAGGGGAAAAAATATAAAATAAAATAAAAAGAAAGAAAGAAAATGCCAGTGTCCCCTCCCTTCCTTTACCAGTACACTCCTTCCCCCTTCTCCCCGACCACCCCACCCACTTTCTCCCCTTTCCTTCCATTGAAAATTCATTTTTTTCCTTTTACCTCCAAATCAAACCCATCAATTTTTTACTGTCAGAAGCACCCTTCAATCTTCTCCCAAGATATTCTTCCACTAAAAGTCAAGGGTATAGTTGAGAAGGAAGATTAAGAATCCAAAAGTTGTATGCCGATTTTCGAATTTTACAGCAGTTTACATCACCATGGTCATAATTTGGCAAGAACACAAGAAAATAATTTTGGAATTTCAGAAGAAATCAACGATGGCTTCAAAGTGGGGGAGCATTTTGTTTCGCCACTAAATTCATCTCCTCCTTCACTGCTAAACCAAGCACTATTTGATGAAGAACTTTTCAGAATGTCTATGGTAACTTTCAAAATATTCTTGTTTGATTTGGGTTCTTGAGATTTGATTGAAGAATAAGTTCTTGATGGATTTTAAGAACATAATTATGGAGAAACGTGGGCTACCGATCATTTTGGATTTGGGGTTCGGTCCAGAATTTACCGGCAAGGTTCTTTTACCGATTGTTTGTTGGGGGAGGGGGGGGAGGGGGTGTTTGAGTGGAGATGAAAAGTAAAAGATATAATAAAATTTTGATAAATAAATTTTAAAAATGGACCCACAAAAAACACATGTCAAGCAATAAATAGTTTAACATATGATGTGACACGCTTTGTGGGATGTGGTTATTAACCCTCATTCTATTAAGTTGAAGTATTCAAATGGGAAAGTTGTAAGTTCGTTTACCGGGTTGGCAAATAGGTGTAAGTTTAAGTGGCCACGAGGCCATTTTGCCTATTGATTATATGAGGTTTTTACTTCTCTCTCTAGAGGAGTTGATCGTCATCCCTGATTTCAGTGGAAGTCTTTTTTTATTTTACTAGAAATATCTTTCTCAGTTTCTCCAATAACAGTGATCAAACAATGTGATTTCCTTCTTAGAATCATACTCTGTCCATATACCTTTTCACGTCTGAGTGGTAACTACCTCAAACATTCATTGTTCATGGTAGAACAAAGGTTGAAAACTTGAAATGCATTAACAATATTGTGCTTCTGCCAGTAAATTTCAATATTTTACCAAGAAATTTTCACCACATCGGTGTGATTAAGCCAATACGCACAAATGACCGATCATTCATAGTAGATATGGTAATAAGAAGTATAATCGCCAAT